CAAGCTGAAAGATCTTGTAACAGAGGATAAATGTAGCCTAAGAAAAATTTAGTAGAATTACCTATCATGCTAGTCTGGGATGAAAAACATCCCTGTGAACCATTTTTAGGGGTTTTGGTTGGTTGGGTTTGTTGTTTTGGGGTTTTTTTTATTTAGGAGAATTTCGTTAAGGAATGAGAAAGTAACCAAAACAACTTCTGAGGCTCTACACACAGAAATTTTTATTCCTCAATAATATTAGAGGTGTGAAAAGTCAACAGGAGATCAGCATTAATCAGAATTTATCAATTTAGAAATGACATGGAAAGAACTCAAACAGTGGTGAGGAAAGTGCTGCAGCATTAACATAATCCTGTATCTGCCAGGAATTTTTTAGAAGTAAAAAACCCAACTAACCAGAAGTTGAGAAAGTTTTATAGCACCGATAAAACAACTGTATTTACATACCTAAGAAAAAGGGTAAAAAGTGGAAGACTTGCACAACAAGGCCAAAGGCAAACTGCTGTGATGCACACGTACTTGGTAGAATTGCAATACCCTTTTTGTTTTCAGTACCTATGTTGCTGTAAATAACAAAATGACTGTTTTCAAAAAAATTTTCCCTATTCAATTCATGACTTCCACTGCTTTTTTCACCCACCACCCGTCAAAAAAACCCTAACAAACAAAAAACCACACCTAATCCCCACTAAATCATGCTTTCATTTCCCCATTTACAGCTGCTGAAATAGCCATTTAATGCTGAAATGTAACAAAACACTTTTCAAAGCACAAACACTTTACAAGATTTACCTCGACCTGCAAACAACTGGACCTTTACACACCAAGTTAAAATACTGGATACCCAGGAGGGCAATATTTAAGACTGAGCTCACCACAGACAAATAAAGGACTGTAAAAAAGACTGATCACGTCTGGATCCGCAGTGCCATTAGTGCAGTGCTCCCGGGGAACATTGCTTGCTGAATTCAAAGTTATCTTGAGAAGAACCAACTTGTTCTAATATACTATGATGCGGGAAAGTAAATTCTACTACATCTCAGAGCTTATCACTCAAAAACAAAAGCCCCCAAAATCCCACTGGTTGAGCCCAGCTAAGAGAAGGAAAGGTGGGACGTCAGTACAAGTGCTATGTGTACTTCAGCATGAACAATACCCACAGAATACTGAGTAACTGAGTAAGCAGCAAAGCCTCCGTAGCTGTCTTATCTTGGTTCAAATGAGAACTTAGTATTTAGAACACAGAAAATTAAATTACCCACTTCGCATTAAAATATTAAGACTTGAATACCTTGGCAATTTAGAGAGGAAAACAGCCAAATTCACAAAGAACACTACTAAATAAATTCTGCAAACAGATTTATAGTGTCACTGAACAACAGAGCACAAGCATGACACAGGAACATTTCTCACAGATCTGTCTTTAAAATAATGTCAAAAAACTCAATATACCTTGAGGAGCCAGAAATGCTCAGGAAAAAAAACCCAAACAAATAGATAAACAAAAAGCACCACCACAAAAAAACCAACCTAAAGCAAACCAAAAACACCAGACATTTCAGACAGCACTAGCTGTGGTTAACACTTCAGCTTTTATTAGATGGTTTTCATGTTTCTAAAGCCATCTAAAACTGCACATCATTTAAGCAATAATTAAGGTGATTATTGTACCTGGACAGTTTTGCACGTTGAAGCAATTTACTCAACATTTGGGATTTCTGTAGGTTTTCATTTTTGTTTGTTTGAAGTTAGATCTTGGATAACATTTCACACAGTGGTTACATAGCTGCTGATGTCAGGTTTACTTTGTCTCAGGCCCACTATGCTGCATAATTACCAACACATCTCTATACGGTGCAGGGTTCTTTTCTACAATTGAAGAAAGGTTTTTGTTTCTATAGCTATGAAGGCTATTTCTTCCTTCCCCAGAAAGGCCACAGAATTGCACTAGGTATTGTGGAGGGAGGAGCAAAAACCAAGGTCCAAAAGCAATAGCAATGGCAAGAGGAATCCTCTATCAACTCCATTTATTCTCTAGCCATTTTGTGCAAATTCCAGCCCTAAAGAACAAACAGCAAAAGGAGCAAAACCAAGTGAAGGGCTCTGTTCAAAGAAAAACAAAAACCTACTGAAAAAAGGTCAAGTTGGGATGATAACTTTCTCAATTTCAGAATTTTTTCCTAGTGGCAGTCAAAACAACTGGGTACCAGCAAGCCTTTGTGCAATGCTATACATTACCTTTAAATATGATCCATAGTACTTTGTTACATAAGGACTATCACACTGACTTAAAACAGTTATCTCTTGTTGTATATCTTCGATTTCATCTTCTGCTTCCTCAAGGTCTATGATTTTTATAGCAACCACTTGCTGTGTCCGGTTATCAATTCCTTTAAAGACTTCACCAAAAGAGCCTTTCCCAATGCGTTCCAATTTTGTGAATAGTTCTTCTGGGTCTGCTCTATGGTTCTAGAGAAAAGAAGGGAAAGAAAAAAAAAAAGACACACAAGTTACTGTATTTACTTCCAAGTTATCTGCCCTCATTACTTCTCAGGAAGCACATAATCCAGATTTATCATCACTAGATGGCTTGTATCAAATAAGTTTATTTCCTGCACACTAACTTCTAACTCAGCTATTAGTTACAGATCATATATTATGCAATTATGTCCAAGGTAAAATGAGCCTCACCAGGAAGGGAGTGAGGTACAAACCTCACTTCACTTCCCCACATAACAACCCTTTAAAAGGAAAGGACAGAGTTGTTCTTAATATTAATCCTACCTGTGCAGTAATTCAGAAGCCTGGGGAATGCATGCACCATCACCCAGGCAGAAGAGGCTGAGCTTTCTACCTGGCCAACAGCCTTGGGCAGCCAAAGCTTTCCATCCAGTAAAGCAACATGGAGCTGGCTGTTGTTTCACTGCACGACCCGGGATGTACCTGCAGATCCTGAGATCTGGGAACATCAGGCGTCTTCAGGACAGCTAAAGCACTGACAGAAAGTACAGCAAAAGGGAGCAAGAGGTGTTTGAAGCAGGAATAAGAAGGCTGGAGCAGAGTACTGAAACCAAGGTACTGATCAGAACCGGTTGGTACCTCCCAAGCACGCCTCAAAAAGGGGAGCAGAGCTCCAGGCAGGGTCACACTGCTGAGGACACCTGGCTTGGAGTCTCTGTTGATGAAGTGCTCTAAGATCAGCACACTGGTTATTATACACAGATTTTAAATTTCTCAGTTCCATTCAGGCAGTCACAAAGGAAACAAAAAGCAAGCAAACTCTCGGTTTCCCTGCAAGGTAAAGCATGCTGTGCAGCTGCTTAGACAAAAACCACACCAGTGACTTCTGAAGGATATGGATTACTTGCTCCACAGTTTAAGAACACAAAACTCCAGACCACAGTAAGAAAGTTTGCAGAAAGGTGTTTTTAAGAGTTAAGACAGACATGCTAAGAGAACAGCCTATGCTTTGCAGAGCAACAGAATTAAACACATTACTGCTGTCGGAACTGGGTAACTCGTACAAAGCAATCTTTGATCAAGAAACATCTGCCCTAAAAAACCCTCTGAATTCAATGGCAACATTTGGAAATACGAAAGAGATGCTTCGCTTTAGATCTTTCTTGCACTCCAAAACTCAGAATCAGCAAAAGAATTCACAGTTTTAGCAACAGCAGAAATTCAACCCAAGGCACAGATTACACTACATAACAAGATACTCGAGTACCAACAAAACTCTAGAGAACATCTTTACACTGGTGTTCTTGCAAATAGATGTGAAAATCTCTACTGGGGAAAAAAAATACATTACTACTCATTAGTTGAAAATGGACAATCTCATTTCCTTACTGGGCCCTTATTGTCACTTCTTTGCTTCTAACAGAATTGATTCCACAATATGGTGAGATGAATCAGGAAACAGATTTAGCTGAGAGTTAACCATATGATTTGTCAGGTTTATTTTCAGCAGAATCAGCTCAGTGCTCACATACACCAAGCTGTCATTTGTGTTATCACAAGAGCAGGGAACAAGAAGTAGTATGGCAGACTCACGCTGATCCGCGGAGATGGATTTTTAGAATTTGCAAATATAAAAGACACGCTGCTGGTCCTGAGCAGCACATTAAAACGAGAAGAATGAGGAATTTCTGCTTTGTCTACAATGCACTCACTGCCACTCTCCTCCATTAAAAACAAATAAACAAAACCCAAAAAACCACACCACCTTCAGAGAAACAATTAAGCAAAAACTGTATTTTCTTCTGTCGGCAGATCCAGTAAAAGACTTAAAAGATGAACAAATACATAAAGGAAATGAAAAGAAGACAGGACGAGTACTATTTTGATCTGAAATCTGGGACAACTAATATTATCATACTGAGAAAGAAAATTATTGTAGGCCTCAGGTGCTCATAAATCCTTTAGTGAGAAGAAAAAAAAAACACCAAATCAAAACAGTAAATCTCCAAACTGCCCAAATACAGCCATACTGCCACACACCAGTGCATCAGCTCCTGCCATCTTTGCATTAAGACTGTAAAAAAACAACAAAAAAAAACACCCAACCAAACAAAAAAACCCCACTAAAACCCTGCTGAATTTAAAAAAAAAAATCAATTTTCAGAGGTGTTTCAAAAACACATTGTAGGGCCAGGTATGGCAAACACCATCAGATGCAGTAAGGAATAATTAACTGATAGCTCTTCATTTACAGGAAACAAAGACACACATAGCTCCTCTAAGAAACAGAGTAAAGAGAGAGGATCAGCACAACTTCCCATTTACTCTAAAATACTCATCTTATTTTGAGACACGCTTGGAGCCTGGGATTCCTGGAGTCATTCTTGCTAACTAATGGCTGTTGATGATTTGAGATGAAACCTCTTAAACACTTCCAGACAGATAAAAGAAAAGGAATTTAAGCACACACATAGTCAGCTAATCCAACCAACAAATGTTTGATGAGCTCAAAGGGCAACACTTGGGTTTTGCTTGGGGAGAAACCTTACACAGATGACTCCTCTGGGCTCCTCAGTGGAAATGAGCATCACTCAACCCTATACACCAACTCAGCGGTCATCGACAAAACAAGCCAGGCCTCTAAACTTGCACCCCCAAGCTACCTCAGGTGAATCACAGATTTAAAGGCTATTTAACTTCTAACAACTCCTAATGCCATCACACGAGTAAAGGGAGAGATCGGCAGGGCTGGACTTCCCCAACACCGCAGTACTCCATGAACATTCCTGGGAGGGAGGTGGAACAGGGGAGGTCAAACAGTGCGGGACTACTGGGAGAGTCACACCTTGCTATTCTGAGAAAATCCTCTCACAGCAAGCAAAGTCGGCTTTACAGCTTCTGTTATTCACCAAAGCCGACAAGGGACTGTAAGACACTCCAGGATAAGGGCAAATATTTCTGACCAACTATGGCTAATACTGAGATAATGTCCTTTGGAAGGACTTCAAACTTAGAACACTGCATAACTTAAAACATGGCCATAGAACAAAGACCACACTTTGAAATGGATTTGCTTTTACCTTTCTTCATTTCCTTGTCTTTCAGACTATTGTTCTACAGGAATGTTTTTCTTCAAATAATAACAATAATAATAAAAACAATGACACTTTAAACGACTACTTTTTAAACAAAGGTAAATTTATGTAATGCAATAACGCCTATCCTCTTTCACCTGGTATAAAAAAGGATGGAGATATATTTTATATAAATAAGAGTGTGTACACACACCCCTAAAACATACCAATAAATTTTTGCAGCACAGCTGCCACTTAAGCTTCTACTATGGTGGAAATTGAGATTTCTAATGCTTTGAACACCCCTAAGCAAAAGAACCAAAAGTTATTCTCTGTTCTTTCATAGATCTTTCACTGAACTGGAAAGATGTATAGAAGCTTTGAAAACTGCCTGCATGAAGAATTGTTGTTTGTTTGTTAAATAAATACCAGTTTCTCTGGGAAATGTGCCTGTTGGGCAGCAGATGATAACAATACAACAGACAGTATATGGACTCCATCATCACCTCTCTGAAGGTAACACCTATAAGGGGACAAATCTGGAAAAGAATCTATTGCTCTTCTCCCTAAGCCCATTTCCACAGACAAAAGCAGCAAGTATGACAAGCACAGGCACCTTTCCATGCCAACTCCAATCTAGCCAGCGTGAGTAACAGCTCCAGCTTGAGCATGACAATACAAGCCCTCTGCACAGCTTAGGAAGTCCACCACTGCACTCATCCAGCACAACTATACAGCCTGCGCTAGTGTGCAGTAAAATCTCCCATCCGACCACGTGTCATTACTGTTTATACACATATGAAGGTACATACACAGATTCACAGGTTCATAGCAGAATTTGGCTTGGAAGGGACCTCAGGAGGTCGTTTAGTCCAACTGCCTACTCAGGAGCCCTCAATAAAAACCACTAGAGCATAGCTTTTGTCAACATACTTGCAGTAGTTGCATCAAGTATTCTGCCAATATTGCTTGAATTACTATTTTCTTTTTATTCTCATAAACACAGCTACGCAGTAATGTCCTGGCTGCACTCTGGCTACAAGACTGACTGGCTGGCTCACCTTCCCACCTCTGACCCTTTCACACACCTGTTCTCCAAATTCTCTATTCTTTGCTCAAAACAAAGTTAAAGCACACTAAGTATCTAACTTTCAAGATTATACAGATATCTGATGACATACACCAGATTAGAAGAAGCTATTTTAGACTGCTTCAGGATCTGTCAGTGCAGGGCAGCTCCTCTACAGAAACAGATCTTCTAAGGTTGATTAATGAATTTAATTAACAGGTACTGAGTACAAATGGATGAAAAACGAAGAATCTTGGACAGAGACGGAGCTAATGCCTCATGTCTAACAAAGTCAAAATAAGGATCCTCTCGATCTCCCAAAGCAAGTAGTCTAACATGGCCTTGTGAGATTTCTCTAAGTAGTCTGTCCATGTGAGAACATATATCCCGTTATCTTAATAATATTTCTAAAACCTGGCCCAGAAATGCTGTTATACTATCTGGATTTTCAAGCATCTCCCAGACTTTATTTGAAACAGAAGTTCCCTTAAAATTGTAGCAACACCACAGAACAGCTCACCTACATTGGGAGACATTACTCAAATACACATTAGATAAAGACACAATAATTAGCTCAACAGATTTTATGAAAGGTTGGTAAGAGAAGACCAGGGTGTCTACTCATACACTCCACTACTTCGGCACCCTGACATATACTGGTAGCTTTGGAAGTCATCAGAATTACCTGTGTGTTTAAAAGACTAATTTCATACAATTGCTCACTAAAGTAAAAAACAAAAATCCCAACCTATCTTCACAGGAAAAGAAGATAATTATGTAATGGCAAAACTTTTAATACAAAACTAAACCACCACCAAAAAAACCCTACCCCAGTAATTAATTTGTTGCGTAGCCTCAGTCAGATT